AAAGCAGATTTCACTTTTGCAAAAGGGTGCATTGCATAGTCAATCAGATCCAGTTTAAAAGACTCTGCCCAAAGAGAGGAAATCTAAAGAACTCAGCTGCCCCAAGCCATCAGGTTCAGGAATGCTTCAGGTGTGGTGCAAAGTGTGGTGGGATTAAAAGATCAGAATATCTTGTCATTAAACCCAAGTTCTAAGTTTTGCAGGGTTTGAAGGAGAAGACTAATATTTAATGTCTCTTACAGGAGGGATGCCGTTACATGTGAAACTAGTAGAGTTTCCTTGTAGAAGCTATTAGTATAATATAAATTAGAGGCTATAGTACTGACAGTAAAGGAAACATTAAGACTTTAGGTTAAGAATAACAGGATGTAGTTATCTCAGGAAGTTCTCTTACAGGCAAGAGACAGGCTTAGGCCTTGTTGGGAGTCAGCTCTGATCATGTTCCCCAGAAAGAGCTACATGCTGTCATATCTCACTCAGGTAGCAGACTACGAATGACTCTACGAGATTTTTAAATGTTTTTTTTTTGTTTTTGTTTTTGTTTTTGTTTTTTTGACCAGAGAAATAGAAGCAAAGGAACTCAAAGTGCTTAACAGGGTAGATTATACATGTGACAGATGAGAAACTCACCAATAATGTTTCAAGATGGATCTCACCATGAGCACCAGAGACTTCAGGACTGACTGAGACATAGCTATCACTGGTCATCATTAGGAGCCTAAGGAGTTCTAAGCCATAGAGAACTCTACTTAAGCCAAACCAGCATTCCTGGCTTTAATTGCTGAAGGGAAATTTTAACAGCTAGTACAACAAAGACAATTTTAATGTAGACTTAGACAGGAGAGTTAAGGACAAACAAGTAGCTCAAAGGAAGAGAAAATGAAATATATCCAACCTTCCTGGAAGAAAAGTAGTCTTTCTTAAAGCAGGCCATAATCTACTTGTATATAGAGCTTTGTGCCAGGAGATAAAGAACAGCAGGTATGGTCAGAGAAAGATAAGACAAGACTAGTCTTAGAAATTACCTATAGATCTGATTCAATCTCTAAAAATTTTAAATTAATTTTAATTTTAACATTTTCCTTTATTCATATGTTGTTTTTATCTCAGAGTTCTTATTTTTGTAAATTGTCAGTTTTATAATTTTATCATCTTACTTTTTAATTAAAACAGACTGCCCATGTGATGGTTTCAAATATTATTGCCTTAGAACTTTTAGTTGTGTGCAAAAAAAAAAAATCCCAATTTTAGAGCATTACATAGTCCCCACTGAAGGGCCAAGTTATCATTGGTTAGATCTCCCCACTTTTCCAAATACATGCAAGTTGAAAGCTCATAATTATCATACATAAAGCCAGCTATAGTGTCAGGTGGCAGTTTATCTTCAAATACTTGCTCCTTTTTGGAAAATTTATTTTCCATTTTATTAACTAATTTATTTCTTTTCTCCTGAAAAATTGCAGCTTTTCTATGCTAGCTGTGAGTTTGTGTTTTGGATGTTGTTTATGTGCTGATTTTTGGGATGGACTTTCTCTGCTTTCGCACTGAGACCATCTTCTCTCACTGGGTCTCAGGGTTTCCTGGGGTTTCCTGCACGCTGTCGGGACTGTGAGGGTCCTCAAGACACTGGGTGATCAACCCTTATGTGTGTCTTCCCGGGAGAGCTAATGAAGTTCCTTCTGACCCAGGAACGGGGTATGTTTATGGGTTCCTTTATGAGGCCATTACTCATCCTGGGTAGTTCGCCCTGACACCTCCACTCTGTGGGTGTGGAAGCAACAGTGCCTCTTGTCTTCGGTGCCATTATGATCAGGCACTCATAATACCTAAGCTAAAGGTGTCAAGGTTACAAAAAGCCAGGAGAAATCACAGGAAAAAAAAATGCAAATTCAGTTATTGGAGGTGTGTCTGGAGACAAAGGCCAACTAAGCCAAAACATCAAAAACAAACAGAACCACCATAGACAACAAACAAAAAACAAAATGCCTTCAAAGTTCTAGAAGCCACCAATATTAAAACAAGCCAAGCAATCAGAAACAAATTGCTTCTGAAGCAAGCAAAAATGGATACTCTAAAGCAAGCACTTTAAAAAGCACACAAGCAAACAAATATCTAAACAAATAGGTACCTTAAAATTGGCAGACTACCTTAAGCTGGATTTTTACATTTTCCTACATTTGTAAGTTAAAGGAACACACTAATGATCCCTAAAATCAGATTAATACAAATATCTGTTTTTCTCAAAACACTTCTCTATTTCTTAGATTAGATATGGGAGGAGTGTTCAGAGAGAAAGAAAAAAAATGCAGCTAGCAAATTTTAACAAATGGTCAGAATTAAATATGCTTTAAGAAGTTTGTCTAAAAGTAACAAAAAACCAAACCGAATGTTGAAACTGAAATTCTTTCAAAGCAAACAAACAAAATAGATACCTAAAACAAACACTTTGAAAGCAAACCAAAGAACAATAAAGGTATCTAATTAATAGGATCCTTAAACAACCAGCTCAGAATAAACAAATGGGCCATCAACCAAATCAAGGGAGGTCCAAGAGCCCCAGAAAGAACTCACCATGATCCATCCTAGGAGACCCCATCAGATGGCTAGACTCAATGGTTCCATGCCACTACCTGCTCCATCCAGGTGACTCCTCTGATGAAAAGCAGATAATTCTTGGGGCCCCACATTGTTGGGTGACATAAACTGTTGACGCAAAAGTATAACTCTCACCTCAAAGGGGTAAGAGATAGTTTATTCTGGAGCCAAATATGAGTGACCATGGCCCAGGAACACAAATTCAGGTTACCCCAAATTCCATGTTCCAGCATGGTAACAGTTGCCTTACATTTTTATAGTAACAGAAAAAAGAAAAGTCATAAATCAAGACACTTTTCAAATACACTGGTGCATACATTCAGTAGGCAGGTCATAGCAAAGCAGGAGGGTTCTTACTATAGGTCTTAGATGTTATCTGATGACATTCTTAGCTTTTGGATTGGTGAGACCTGGTGGTCTGCTAAGTTAATACGTTCTAAAAGGGTTTTATCTGTTAGTCACAGAATGTTAGATCAGAAAGAGAGGTGGGTAAGGAGTGGCTGTTTAGGGGGCTAAAGACCACCTGATAAATGGTAATTAGACACTGGGCCTGCAACATTCCAAACTCCTCAGTCTCTGGAGTGATAATCCGTTGGTCAGCCTTGCAGGAAGTTCAGTACAAGGTGCAGGAGTTCCTTTTAGGAACTTTTCTTTCACACTATGGTTGAATATAGTCTTTCCAATTTTTACTGATTTAGTCTTTTCTGGACCAGAATTTGTTCCCCATACTAACGTATTTTGTGTCAAATCATGAAGGAGAACACAAATTCCTTTAGACTACATATTTTTGAAGAATTAATATTTTCATCCTCTATTTCTTATGAGGTTCATATAAGCACATGAATTTGGCAAGGCCTAAATTATATGATTCAGATTTTAAATGAGTCATATTGACCCAGGTTCTTATGAGTTTTGGGAGAGAAAAAAAATTATTAACAAGTTAGCTAGACTATGATGACGTCAACTTTATAGGAAACAGTGTCACTATGATGACACTTTATAGGAAACTACCATTTGACTTTTCTGTATACTTTTAATAGTGTATCACATTTTAAAAATCACTGTACATAGAGATGGAATGAATCCTGAAACATTTTATGACCACACTGAAAAGACTGTAAGTTAAAAGAATATTATAATAATTGGCAATGAATAAAATGCTTTGATATTCAGCAACTAATTTATTTTTATAGTTTTTGTACACTAAGCATTTTTATAAAGAAGCACTATATACCAGTGCACACAGTATAGCATGGAGGGGCCTGGAGTATAGTTGTCAGAAGACCTGGCTTTGGTCTATGTCAACCTTGCAGCCCTGGGGACTCCCTTAACTCTATAGTCCTTTCACAGTGCTATTGTAAAGAGCATATGACTCCATCTACAGTTGGCAGAGCTAAACACAATGTGAATGAATGCCTGAAAGGTAGAATTTTATGGTCCACACAGAATACTGTAGATTTCAGATGGCAGACATTAGGTACCTATTAACACATGCGGGTGAATTGTCTTTAAATAGCACTTTTGAACTGAAATGGAGCATCATTTGGATATGACTGCTAATAGCATATTTTCCAAGGAGCCTTCAAGAGTTCTTGTTAGCATAGATTATGTCACTAACATTAAATGCTTAAGACTAGGTTGCAATGTGTTGTTAGTATCACTGGCTACATACAAGATAGCATTTTAAGTTGTTTGCACAATTATTTTCAGTAACCAAGACAAATGCAAAAAAGAACAAAATCACCCTGAGATCAAAGGAAGACAGAGCAAGGGTCCCTCCTAAAACAAAGAAGATCTGAACGGGAGAGAACTGCAAATAGATGGTGGCCAGAGATTACCGTGAGGACACACCCTAGCTTCCTTTTTTATACCAAGGTTCCTGGAAATCTTAGTTTTAGTGTTGTAGGTTGCTTCCTGCAAGGAAAATAGTTGTTAAATGAAAAGGTTCTAAGAGGCATAATTAGTTTTGAATTGTATTAGCTCCAACTTGATTTATTCCGGCTAAAAATCACAACTAGTTAGTATTCATTTGTCACTGAAGAGAACTCAGTCACAACTTCATGCAAGTGCTAAAGGATGGGTTGAGTCACCATCACACTGACGAACAGAGCCACAGTTTCAAAGACTAGGACTCTTTGCACTCCTCCACCTCTTTGTTCTCACTGTCTCCACCCATCAACCAGTCCAGGAGCCTGTACTTACTTCACTAATATTTGGTCCATTTATTTATTATAAAATCATTCTGGTGAAGTTCTTAGATTAAACCACTTTGTTTTAAATTGAATCTGAAATTACTGTAAAATATATAACTAGTAGACTTAAAGAATCCCCAGAGGACAAAGAACAGTGTTTTTTTTTTGTCACTCAAACACAAGCCAGGGTGAGAAGGGAGCATGGCAACTTACCTGTCATGGTGAATCCACCAACCAGCAAACCAATGTCCCGGCCCCCAACTATAATGGCTTCACTGCGCTCTTCCGAGCTGCCACTGTTTTTGGTTTTCCAAGCAGCCCATATTCCAACCAGAAATATAAGGAGGTAGAACAAGATGATGGCTACCAGTCCTTCCACATGGAAAGCCATTTTTATTTAAGGTAAGGTGCAGCTCCTTCCGCAGCTGGCTACTTCATTAAGCCTTCTGGAGAAAACACAGGAATGCATTATAACGCAGCCAAGCACTATGCCTGCGCAGCCGGGAATAAGCAGCTGGGTCCAGAGATTCCCGTGCCACTTATTCAAAGCTTGAGTTGAAATCCTGGTGAACCTGGTGAGGACCAACAAGTGTCTACTACACTGTCCTACCTCACAGGTTATTGCTTTGAGGTTTGAAGAAACAGGAAAAAAAAGTGAACATAGTTTAATACATAAAATCATAGTCATTTTTATATTTAATAAATTCTTTCAACTTAAAGTTACCTCTGTTGTGTATTTTAACTCAGTACTTCTGTCAAGAGATCATTTGCAAATTATGGCAGCATTTGCCTTTTGAAACTAAGTCAATATTTTAGGATTGTTCATTAATGTAAGTGTATCATACGCCAACACTCCAAATCTAAAAGCATTTGTTCATTCTTTCACTGTCCACTCATCCTTTCAAATGACTGCAGAGAATAGTTCCAAAAGCACCTAATACAAAAACATCTAGAAAAAAAATTCAGGAAAATCAGTTTAAAAACGCATCAACTCCTCATTTACAAGTCCCCCTGGCTTAAGTTACTGTGACAACAAAATATGTTTTAGTTGTTTAAAGGAATTACCCTCATGATCTTCCTCTGTCCCTGGTTCATACCACCCTCCTCCCCCCATGGCGTCTATGAGAAAATGATGTTTAAAGATTTATTGCACAAAACCACAACGGAGTCAAGGATACGAACAGCAAGACTCTAAGAAGACAGACGTCGAGTTCTAAAATCAAGCTCCATCTTCCAGACTTATTCTCTTATTTCTCTCAGAACTAAAGCTATTTAACACACCCCAGTCCACACGCATAAGTTTCTGGGAGAAGTCAGGTATTTGTCACCCTGCGGCAGGTGGGCGGTGAGACCGAATGAAGGCACTCACCTCCCGGGATAGGATGCCCGGGAAGCGCCTAGCAGCTCCGACTGGGTGGGCTCCGCCTTTGTGAGCTGCGGAGCCGCCAAGTTCTTCCTTTAACCCGAGCTCCGCTGGGCTTCTAAGCCCCGGTCTCGCCCGGCCCCTCCGCCCAGGTCTCCTGAACCCAGACTTCGCAGCCGCTCGCACCCGGAGAGCCACAAGTGCTTTCGGCGGACTCGAGCTTATCCCACCCCGGGCAGAGCCTTCCTCTGCTCCAGGACCGTGCGCTGCAGCCAGGCGTCCCCGAGGGCAAGTCCCCGGCGCCGGTTCTGCCGCGCTCCTACCTGGGCGTCGCCGCAGGGCAGCGCAGGGCTGGTCCGCAGGTCGGGTCAGCGCCCTGAGCACAGCGGGGGCAGAGAGGGAGGGAGACGCCCGGGAGCCAGGAGGTGATGGGTGGGGCGCCTGCCGTGGGCTGCGCTGGGCGAGGTGTTGATCGATCCGGGTATTGGGAAAAGTCTCTTTATAAGGGCGGCGGGCGGGGGCGATCGTCAGAGCTCAGGGGACGGACGTCAGAGGAAAGTGATCTGAGCATAAACTGTGCCCTCGCAAGCTAGTGGAGCATGCGGGGTGCGAGGGAGCCCAGCACAGCAGCGACCGGGCTAGCCTGGGCTTAGGGCCAGCAGTGCTCAGGTCTGTATCCCCACCGCAAGGCAAGTCAGGCTGCTTCCCCAGAAAGGAGGGGGCCAGTCCCTCTGGACCTTCACAAGTTTAACTGTCTTCTCTCCCCTACCCTCCCGGGAAACAAAGGACAGAGTGAGCTAGGGTCTTGGACTACTTTACCTCCAGATGGGGAAGTGGTGTGGAGGCTTCCCAGACCTGCCAGTCAGACATTGCCTTGAGGTGTCTGTGAAAGCTATGTTGGGGGGCTTGCCCCCTGTCTCCTGCTGGGCACGGTGGAAGCTGATTCCAGAGCCTCTGATAATGGGCTTCCGGCAGACTTGTTAGGAAGGCTAAGACTGATAGTCCTTTTAATTATATATAGTTACATTCGTACTTCCTTCACGTAAAAGCAGGGTGGAAGACTTTAGTCGTCCCAAAGGTTAGTACTTAAGTCGTAGGAAACAGCTAGCAGAACGAAGGTGGTTGTTAGCTTCTTTAAATATTCATTTCTGACTTTACAAATCAGTCACCATTTCACTTAAAACATATCTACGTCTCTATTACACACCTAAGTATCTATGTATTTCATGACTTGAGGTCTTTATCTTTTAATAGCTTATACAGATGGTAGATAAAGATACCCCTGTGTCTGTGTATGTGTGCATGTTTGTAAGGAGAGGGTGTGAGAAAAAAAAAAAAGCCACAAAATCTCAAGTCCTGGGGCCCCTTTCTCTTTTTTCCATATGCCACCACACCAGTCTGTTCAGCGGCAGAGCAGTCCATCTGAAAACTGAAGGGGTGAGCTGAACACTTCTTAGCTGCTGTCTACTCTGGGTCAAGCCACAGACCAACTCCCCTTTCCACACTGGATTTAGAGAAGGTCTTTCAAGTTTAGTACTCCCTCATTCATGTCTTTGTTCTCTGTAAACAACTGCACATAGATGTTTTGTAAGAAGCTCAAAGGACTTCAAACAGAAACAGAGGTAGGGCAGAGGCCTGTGTGAACACTTACCCTCACAACTAAGGTTCATGACTAGCTAATTGCTTTTCTGGATCAGAACGAATTTGAGCCCAGAAGGGGCATGAATGTAAGCAATTAAACACAACTGACAGAAGACACGTACACATAATCACTCAAGTGTTTTCATGTGAGAGTCATTCATTCATTTCTTGTTTTATTTTTTACAATTATTAATCAATTTATCATTCTGGACTTAAGCTGCAAGTTAATCCACATTTTTCCTTCCAGAATGTACTTAAAGGTGACGACACAGAGTTCAGTTGCAACAGGGCAGGTCTGAGCAGTACAGTATCTGAAAGAGTGGGCCACTGAGGTCAGGGAGAGTGACTCAGGCCCAGAAGAGCAGGAGAGGAGCCTATCCTCAGAGAATGTCACCTGGGCTTGGGGATGAGAATCCAGACTGTGGCCAGGGCCCAAGCTCTGGGAGAGGTGGGGGTAAGGGACTAATTCACTTTGAGAAGCCTGGCAAACGAGGCTCTAGACTCAGTGCCAGATCCCTGTAGGGACAGTGACCTTGAAAGTGGTCAAAAAAATTTCTGGCCTGGCAGAGAAGCTGTCCTTCATGATGAAGAGCACTGTTGAAATGATTTCTACTGATATATTACGTCTGGCTCTGAGAAGACATGTCCTCATCTGCTGTCCTGTGAGCGCCGTTGTCTGATCAGAGGATGACGCTGCGCATGCGTTTTGTATTTTTGTTCCAGTGTGGTCTCCCTGACACCCGTTTTTCCTTTGTCTTCACTGTGCACCCCTTCTCTACTGTCCTAAGGATCTGTGATCGTGCTTGATCAGAGAACTGCGTGGGAGTGGGGAATCAATTCCAACTTCAGGAAATAAAAGGTCGTTTTGCATTTACAAATCATTTATTTAAAGTGCAATTTCCTAAGTACCTTTTATGTTCCAAACACTGTCCTATGTACTGAGAATATATGCAGAAAATGATATATAGCCCCAGCCCTCAACAACTCAGTGAAGAGGTTAGGAGCCTCCTTTCCATGTGAACCTTTTCTAGTGTTCCTGAGGATCAGCTGGTTTTAGGGGCTCCTCTTTCAGAGTAGAAAGTTTTGAAACCAAAGCAGACATGAGCTCATATTGACTAGCTATAATATATCCACAAATTGCTGTTTTGTTTGAGCTTGTTCTTTTCTTAAATAATTTTTATTGTTTGAAAGTTTTATGCAGTTACACAATATATGTTAATCATATCCATCCAGCACTACCTCCTTCCAAAGGTCCTTTGATGCCCCCAACCCACTTCCCTCCCAACTTTATGTCCTCCTTATTATTGTTATTAATAACCCTTTGAATCCATTTAGTCATCTCCATATGTGTGGAAGAGGAGCAGAAATGATGTAAGAGCCTGCAGATAGGGAGGGGAGCTATGAAATGCAAACTTCCAGACATAACATGGCTGTTGTATACATCAGTTCAATAGCTGGAGTTACATGCACAAGACCTGTACAGGATTAAGCCTATCAAAATTCTAGCATGGATGGGAACAAGGTCCCCTCCCCAAAGACACCTCTGTGGGAGGAGCTACTGGTGGTTAATGGCAGCAGAGGAAGGGTGAGTCATTCTCCTTCTGGAACCTGGCTCCTTGTAGGAAACCAGGATGCCAGTCCCTAGGGTGAGATGAGCCTAAAACTTTTAAGTCCAGGCTTCATTCTCTGCTAAAGGGAGGGGCACTGAAAACAGTGGCTCTGATAATCCCTGTCTTACAGAACACTGTGAGACTGGCAGGAGAAAGTGACCTGGTCATAAGCGCAGGCTCCCTGCTCTGTGGGAAAATGTCTTGATCAACAACACTTAGCTCATCTCCACGTCTTGAACAAATAACTCAGCTATCCTTAGCTAAGAGATTAGGCCAGGTTAAAGGTTTACTCCTGAGCTAAAAGCTAAAAGTTTACCATGCTTTTAGCTCTAAGAAAGAAAACATTATGGCCAATAAATTACCAGATGGGCATTGATAACCTTGAGTAAAAGCTTAAGAATCCTTCTGGTTCCAACTAGCAGACTAAATGTCCTGTTTCTTTGTACCCTAAATCTCTGTATGTGACCGCCATATCCCACATGTCTGCCTGTTCCTTGTGATGTATAAAAACCATCTGAATTTTAAAATAAATGGCTGTTGAAAAGAAACAGGTCCCAGGGTCCAAGACTCTGTTGCCGATCAAGTCTCTCTGCCCCGAAGCCAATAGGTCCCCCACTGAACAAAGCAAACCCAAGTCCCAACACCTCCTGGTAAGAGTTTTTCTTTTTTTCTTTTTGAGACAGGATCTCTCTGTAGCCCTAGCTGGCCTGGAACTCACTATGTAGACCAGGCTGGCCTTGAACTCACAGAGATCCACCTGCCTCTGCCTCTCAAGTGCTGGGATTAAAGGCATGCACTACCATGCCTGGCAAGTTTTGATTTTTCTTATCTGTAAAGCTGCAATAAAAATATGTAAGGTTAGTGCCAAATTCACAGGAGGTTGAGGATTAATTACAATTAAATACAAATGGTCTCCAACTTACACTGGTTCAACTTAGGACTTCTAAGCTTTACAATGACATGCAAGTAGTGCACTTAGAGCAGAACTCTGAATTTTCAATCTGGACGTTTCTTTGGGCTACTGACTGCAGTGGGACACTTTTTCCTGATGGTGGGGAGCAGCAGAACACCACAGCTCTCATCATCACAAGGGCAAATAATTATTACTCTATAGCTCACAGTATTCAGTAGACTGCCTGGGGGTATTCAACCCCTAATAATAAAATGGGCTCTCTGTAAAATAACCTTGCCCAGCTGTAGGTGTCTGTTAGCATTCTGAGCATGT